GCTGAACCTGAACATGCTTGGAATGATCCGCTTAGACATAGAAATTGAAATTTCATATTGTATTCTCTGTGGACAACTCAGCTACCACTAGAACACTTAAGAGTTCACATTACCAAAGATACTTACGCTTCTGAACCAATGTACTTACAAGAGGTAGAATTCCCCTGTACAACTGCGTAGCTTTGTATCTATTTCGTGCTCATTGGGTAGCACTTTTAAATAAAATTACACAGCCGCATCAGATAAAGAGTGTAGCATTTGTAATTTATTCAGACCAACATGCTTTCCTTTCTCCCCCCTTTCTTCACACTTCTTCCCTGGCCCGCCAGCTTCTAGCAAGAGCTTTGCCATTACAAAAATGTGTTTATGCAAGTGGAATTTACTCCAGTAATCCCTCTCTTCGGATTGTGTTTTCTGAAACAAGATATATTTGGGTTATTAAGAATGTATAAAAATTATCAGTAATAACAAACATGTACTATGTTTAGAATTCTTATCAGAGAGATTTATTTGCATTTACGATACTTTTATAGGTAGGGCTACATGCTAGGAAACGTCACAGTCCAATGTTTTAAATATACCTGCTTTAATCTGATAGTTATTAAATATTTCCAGGTACTCGAGCGAGCACGGAATCTTAACAGAAGATTCTTTATAACAGAATGTACTATTTCTTGACTGTAATAACTGTAGCAGATTAATTGACTATTTAACAATGGAGAGATAGGAAGCTGCTTTTCCCAAGTGCTATTTGAGTGAAAGGAAGCAAATGCATGTGACTTCTGGGACAACAAAACCTGTTGATTTGTGCCATGCAGCTACTGAGGCACGAGTGTGAAGGGAGCATTGTCAAGTATCCTCTTTGTTTTATAATTATTATGTGAAAGTGCTTATAACATGCAAGAATTGAAAATTCAAGCTGTAAACAGTGTGCTTTTAAGAGCTCTAAAGCGTTTTATACTTCTCTTTTTGCTGAAAACTGAAATTCATCCTGTGCAAGTGAAATGGGAGTCTATTTTGCCTTTGTTTTATCTTTAAAATGAAGCCTGTGTGATTGTATTTGCATGCAAAAAGATGAAATAACCTGACTGGAATAAAGTAGTTGAATAAAAATTACTTTTCATGTAGGATAGGTCAGTATCTCAAGGTATTTAGGTATGAAATGACTTCTGATATTCAAAATTTATTTAATATCTCATGAAGACCTATGATTTGACTAGCCTAACCATAGAATAGTATTTGGTAAGAGATTAAGTGATTGAAAAGAATAATACCTTTTTACTCTTACATTTTACGGTATTTGTATTCTTAGCCTCTGATCAGTTCAAGGTTAGTCTTTCTGATTTTTAATTCTCAACAGAATTGCAGAGAAAATTAGGGTAAAAAAGACACTTGTTAGCCATATGCTTTCATGCATCTCTGCTGAGTTCCTGTCTAACTGGGATGTAGAATATATTTGCATGTGACATTAATACAAATTATTATTAAGGTCATGGGGAATTGATAGGACTGATACACTCTGTTTTGTTCATTGCATAAGTGTAATTGCTTCAGTGTTGCTATTTTTTTCAAGAGTCTTGCATTTCATTTACCTTTAAAAGAAAAATGATCCCCTTAAGTTGGTTTTATTTTGGTGTCTTATTTCTTGTGTAGTGTTTTTATCTTCTGGATTTGTGGTTTAGACATGGTTTTATCTTTTTATAACATAAATAGCTCTGCTTGTATACTGGAATTCTTTTGATTTAGTTAATGTCGGATTAACCTAGTCATCGAGTCTGGTCTTCATTTTAATGTTTATTGTTTAAATGCTACTTCAATTTTTTAAATATTTTTTTTCCCTTCACATTTCCTTTATTTCTGTGACTATACTAAAAATCATACTTAAGCCTATATTGAGATCTTTGTTTTAGAGAAAATAATCTGAACACATTAATTGAATTATTGCAGTAATAATCTATTGTATTGGACCATGCATAACAGTTAACATTTTTCTTGTAAATGAAATACCACAAAGTATGCTTTCTTCCCGAGTATAGTGAAACGCTCAGTGCTTCGGCATTGCCACACATCTTCTATATCAGCTTAAGATTGGTTTGAAGTTTTTGTGTTTGTTTAATGAAGTTTAAAAAAAATTAGGTAGTAAATACTGAATATTGTCAGTCTTGAAACAGTATGTCTGAGAGCATACAAATGCCCTCATAAAATAATAACATGAGTAGCTACTCTGCACAAGGGATGGTTGAATTGTAATCTCAGTCGGTTGAATGGCTATCTGTGTACTTCTGTCTGATGTGTAGAATGAATAGTTCAGATACGTTTATTATTTTGTCATCTGAATATCTCTTTTCAGAGTTGCAAACTTAGTTATAACTGTCAGACGCTTTTCACCGTTGAATTGTTGTTTGTTTTCATTTGTCAGTTAGTTGAATGTACATTTTGTTCTGGAGAGAAAATTAGTATGTTATTTTAATAGAGTTCAAAGGAAATTTCATTAAAGGAGAAATAATAAAAAGGTAGTTAGTCCACTTTGGATTTTGGTGGATGAAGCAGGAAGACATTTGTACACTTTCTTAGAGCAATTTAAAGCTAGTCCAGAACCGGGAGGTAACTACAACTTTGCTCTTGTTTAGTGCTTTATGAACTATCATCTCACTCGAGTGACCTACTATATCAGCTGTGCATTTGGCTTTAAAAAAGACCCTTTATAATTGTGATAATGTCTCATCATTGAAATTTGATGAACACTGAGCATTCTCTTACAAAGATAGAATAATACACGCTGTGGCTGACAGTTACTGTATCTGCTTGACATTCAGTGATGTGGACATAATTTAGTTATAAGGAGTAGATTTACATTTCTGCAAAGAGGAAGAAGTCAGAAAGAGCAGACTGAATAGTGAAGTTAGTCCACATAAGTTAACATTGGTGTTAGAACCTTCTGGACAATTAGTCATTTCCCTTATTTTTGGAAAAGGAAACAAAACAGTGGCAAACCCTTTTTGATTTTTTGATTGGTGTACTCCTGTTGGTGTTTACAAGTGTCCTGAAATTGAATATCGAGTATATACCAAGCACTCTAAAGGCACATAACTGAGCTAGACTCATTTAACTGCAAAACCAGGGTCTTCAGTGATCAGATGGCAGTTCGTGCCTTAGCCCAAGAGGTATCTCTTCTTCGGTGTTTATTACAAAGATGATTGTACTTTCCCAG